TTCTCTCAATTTAATGACCCCAAGATCGTCCTCTTCTGTCAACTTTCGGCGTTGTTCCCATGGTCAAGTGCACAGACTTCACACATGAGGATATCTCAGGTTGAATTTCTCCACCAAATCTCAACCAATTCCTTCGCAAAAAGGCTCTTTCGGTTCGTACGAAAACCCTCTTTCCTTTTTATTATTACTCCCCCCTATAATTTTTTTTTCGTAATAATGTACAAGGGCAGGAGCCCAGTTTTGATGTATTTGCTATGTAAGGTTCTGTTAGAATGGGTGGATTCAGACGACTCCGGAGTGGAATCAGAGACTTAGCGTGGAAGGACCTCGGCCTCAGCAACTCAGGCGGAGCACTGTGCCATTGCTGGTTGTCCTGGGGGTCCCTAATTTCGGATCTAGCAGAGGGGAAGTCTCTTGGGGGCATTTCAGGTCGATTTTGGACTGAGGTTACAAGTTACTAAGTACATTGTATATAAGGAGGGGTCCGGAATCAAAAGGAGCAAGGGTACTCCGAAAGGAGACAAAGGGAGATGGAAAGAGGAACAACACCGAGGGTCAAGGGTTTGACTCAATGGTGTTTCCCAAAGGAGGAGTGAAGGCCCAAGGCCCAAGGAGGAAGGAGGGAGGATGGGAGTTGGGGAATGGCTAGCTGACTGAATAGAAAGGAAGCAGCAGCCCAAATAAGAATGAGGGAGAATAGTGGAATTGAATGGAGCAATGCAATAGTTGCAAGGTCCGATGTAAGTCCGGAAAGTCTGAACTCGGAAGTTAAACTCCGGAATATTGGCAAAGGTAATTAAATGGAATGAGCTAACCAATACAATGGGTATAAGCGGAGGTGGGGTCAAAGTCCGAGGTCGGAGCTAAGACCGGAGGTTCCGGAGACAGAGACACAAACGGGATTCCAGAGTGGAGGTCCGGAGTCGGGAGCATAGGTGTTGCATACTCATCTGGAAGGTGTCGAGGTTGGGGTTGGACCCGGAATGTTCTGGAGTCGGACCGAAGGTGGTGTCAGAGCCGGAGGTGGGATAACCTCTTGGGAGTCAGCAAGGAGAAGGTGACAGAAGGGAAGTAGGACTCTGGAAGTCAGGTTCGGAGTTCTGGGAGCCCGGAGCAGAGGTTGGGATTGTATGGATATGACAGGTTCCATGAAATTGAGCACACCCATTATGCACTCCTACAGAGCCACAGCCATCAAGGATGAGAAGATGAAACTCATCCTTGTGAGAGAGTTTGTCCCAAGTTTGCCTATTGAAGAGCTTGATCCAATTGGCTCCGATTTCCCCATCTGTCCTTTGCTGATTTACATATGCTGTTTAGGGATTAGTGAAGAGTTAATTTGGGCCTATGTCATACCCTGGAATACCGACCCCACGCTCTCCCACCTCATCACACCTTCCTAACAACTTCATCATCCCCTACACCATAACTCCCCACTCCCCAAGTCACCTTCCTTCCCAACCGTCTCAGCTCCAGCCTGGTTTGCAGCACACCTTACCTTGGCCACTCCCATCCCGGAAGCTCGGTCCCAAGTCGGAACATTTGGAGACTCCAGATTTGCTCCAACCTCCCAATGGATCTCTGACATCCCATGACATACCTCTAAACCATTCCCCCTCCCATTTCATTTATTGGAGTCACCCAACATCCTTCGGATACGTAACTCTGCCTTTGGAGCTACCCACATCCTCTGGTGATCCCACTCACATCATCACAAATTAGTCACCTTCCATTTATAGACAACTGTCATCTTCTTTCCATTCAGTCAGCTAACTTCCCCTTACCCATTTCTCATTCCCATTCATCCTCTGGCCTTTTACTCTGCCCTTCTCGACCCGACACCTTGGTTCCCCATTAAGGATATCATTCGGCACCTTTCGGTGTTTTCCATTATCACTCAGACTTTGACTAAAGTCCTTCCCCTTCCTCCATATATAAATACTTGTAGATTAGAACCTGTTGTACCCCAGTTCTAATCTTGACTAAAAGTTACCCCAAGTCCCTCTATGAGTGAATCCCGACCTCTTCCTACAAGATACCTCAGACACATGAAATATAAGGACTAACTGAGATGTAATGGAGGCACAGTGCTCCCTCCAAGTCACTGAGGTCGTGCCCTTCTTAGAGCCTCTTGTACCACCCAGCAGACCCAGGCTTCCTGGAGAAGCTTCAGTTCACTACCGGAGCTCTCAGATCCCCTCTAGTTGAGCCCCACCTGCATTCAGACTCACACACTTTCCCCTCGTTTGGGGTTTTTGACAATTATATCCTTTAGAAAGAATAGATGGGGGGATATTGGTGCCATATGGCACCTGGGTACCTGATTAGGTGAAATAATCGAAAAAGTATCAGGAACAATAAATCGATTTGTGAAAAGTGATGGCAAAATATGAAAATATAAAGAAAATAAGCGATTTCTGTCAGGGCATGCCTTTGGGTCGCTAGCGTAAGTAGCGCATTGCCACATGACCCATATCTCCATCAGCTTCTACTTCTTTTCTTCTTCTTCATCTCCGATCTGATCCGATCTGCAGCTGTTGGTTATGATGCCACATGATCTTCTATCTTTCTTGATCCAACACTTGTTACAGGTCTGACTGTGGGATGTAGAGAGAGGGGTCATTGGGACCTGGGGTCCATCCCCTGACATGCTCATCCTGAATCCAGCCTCTGATACCCTTAGACAAACAGCAGTGGGGCAGCACCAGTTGCTGAGGTCAAGGTCCTCATGCATTAAGCCTCCTGTTCCACTTCTGGAACCGTCTGAATCCACCACTTCTAACATTAATCAATTTATCTGTGCAAATTCACAATAGTATGTATCACTAATGTATCATCCTACTGCTGTCAAAGACCAGATTCAGGATGAACAAGAACGACCCAGTGTTCAGAGGGCTGTGGCCTCAGTGACTCAACCAGGAGTGCTGTGCCCAGTAACACATTGGTGCTCTAATTTATGGACTGGGGAGTCTTCTGGAAAGGGGGATAACTTTAGTTGATTTTCTAACTAGAGTGTTTAGTATCTATAAGTATAGTATATATAGATACAACAGGAGTCTAGGCAGCAGGCCCATAAATGGCAAGGGCCAAGCAGAACTGACCTAACAGGGTCAAGGGTTAGCTGACTGAATACTACCAGTGACTTGGGTTACTGTCATATCCATACATATCCAATCCCGACTGGAGTCCTACCCTATCCCCATCCACTCTGATCTCCACCTTCCTCTCCTTCTGACTCTCTCCCAACCAACCTCCACTAAGGTATGGCCTTCCACTCCCATCCTGTACCCCAAACTTGGACACTGCTCCTCTGAGACCCTGTCATGGTCCCAACCTTGGACTTTGACTCCATTGCATTGGTGACCTCCATTGCCAATATTCCTCGGACTTCCAACCCCACCTCCACAAGCTCTGTAAGCTCCACTACCTCCAAGCTTCATGGCTTTCCCTCAGCACCTTTGCTGCTTGTAGTATACATTTCACACTTCTCCCTTGCCCTTATTTGGACTACTGCTTCTTTCCTTTAGCCAGTTAGTCATCCACCCCACTTCTCCTCATCCTCCTGCCCTCTGGGCCTTTGCCCTCCCTACCTCCTTTCAGATGCACCATAGAGTCTAACCCTTGACCCTTGGTGCAGTCCCACATCTGTACTTCCCTTTGTCTCCATTCAGACACCTTTTGGACCCCCTTTGTTTTCTCATGCTTCTGTCTCTCCAATATATATAGACCCTTTTACATACTTGTCTGCCCCTTAGTCTAAAATCGACCAGAACAACTAGAGTTAATCCCCCTCGATTAATGGCCCCTGGAGACTTCTTCCTCACTATGTCTGAAATGAAGGACCAACAGGACAAACAGCAATGGCACAGTGCTCCCCTTGAGTCACTGAGGCCAAGGTCCCTCCTTGCTAAGTCTCTGATCCCACTCTGGAATTGTCCCCTTCCACTGCACTCTAACAGTTACAGGGTTAACAGGTTATAACCCAGAAGTGGAATGGAGGGCATGGTCCAAAGGTGGACTTGCAGGGTAGGCAACTAAATGGCCCAGTGGAGGTGGGGGTGCACTTGCAGACATCAGAGCTGTCCAGAGGCCTTCAGGGCTCTGTCATATCCATACCTACTCCACCTGACCTCTGACCTACTCTACCACCATTCCGGTTCACCTGTGGTTCGTCATATCCCTCACCTCCACCATTTCCTCCAGTCTACTTCCTCCGCCTCCAATCTCTGGTACCATCTCCAGTACCCCTTATCCTCATCATAGAAGGTTTTAATATTCCTACCTACCCAACATTACTACAGACCTCCTAGGACCTCCACCAACCCTGCAAAGGTTTTCCCACTATTTAATAGTTGTCGCTAATCCCACCCTTCATCTACCCACTCCACAGTGCTCGATAAGGCAATTCTCTCACGAGCTCACCAACCCAGCAAGTGGGTAAGTCCATCCTGGGTTTTCCCTTTGTTCCTATTTGTCTTGTATTATGTATATAAGTCATGTATCATAGTTGATGGCACTTCAGTGCAAAATTGACAACAATGACTATCCCCCCAGAGTTTGCACCCCCTCATTCTGAAGTTAAGGACCCAACACTAGCGTTACTGAATGTAGGCACAGCACTCCTCTCTGAGTCACTGAGGCCATGGTCCCTCCACTCGTCCTCTACTATATCCCTGAAGTAGAGTTCATGAAGCTCATCAGGAGCATCTTTCAACATGATCATTGCATGTTGGAAGGGGGGTCCTGACTGCGTACATCTCTTTTGCTGAAGAGAAGGACAGACCAAGGTGGCATGTCTAGTTGGTGAGTAGTTCTGAGTGCTACTATGATATTTTCAGGTGATAGGCATGCTCACATAATCAAGTTGTAGAAATTTGTTTATTTCCAATTGGGACAACTTCCTTAAGCCACTCCACAACTTTGCAGGATCCAAGCAGCCAATCGTTCCAATCCCCTTGCTTGATGCACAGGGAATGGTATGAATGTGCATCTTGACCCTCATGGCCTGGATCGCTGACTTGGAGGAAGTCCTAGACCTCTTTGGGCTTCAACGAAATGAGTGCCCGAAGTGTGTTGCCAAGTACAAGGACCTTGGGGGCAGCTGGACATGCAAGATGCAAACAGGCAAGGATATTCTGAGGGCACAGCACAAACTTTGGAAGAAGTACCCCAAGGCAACAACTTGGCAATTTTCAGTAAAAGTGAGGGAGCTAGGATTACTTGGAGTGGAGAACCTATGCTGGGAAGGGCTTTCCATAGACATTTGCTGGGCTCTGTGTCTCGATTTACTCCATGGGCTGCACAAATATATCAGTGACCACATGAAGACATGGATCAAGAATACAATCGGAGAGGATGCACTTGATGCCCGATTCATCACCCAGCCTTACTGAAAGGGCCAATGCACATTCCATAATGGAATATCAAAGATTTCACAATGGTCTGGCCGTGAAAACCATGACCTCCAGCACCATCTGGCTGTTGTGGTTGCAGGTGCTTATCAGAAAGGGACAGTGAATGAAAGCTCACGTATGATGCAGGCAACACGCTCTCTGCTCAACTTCTCATACAAAGCGCAGTTGCTGGCACACTCAGACATCAGTTTGCAATCAACAATCGATGATTTGACATTTTACTATTCAAGTGTCAGAGTTTTCATCAACAACAGTGCACGCTGTAATGGGAAGGGCACACCAATTCACCATTTCCGAATCCCCAAGCACCACAACCTCCATCATTTTGCCGATGACATACGTGATCATGGAACTATGGACAATGGTTCATCAGAGATAATCGAGGCATTGCATATTCCCACCTTCAAAGTCACTTACCATGCAACAAATCAGAGAGCATACACCACCCAGATTCTTGATCAGCTTCAACATGTTGACTCCCTCTCCATTTACTCGTCAATTCTGGAAGCTAAAGGGATTAATCAGTCTCAGATTGATCAAGCTACTAAAGGGCTCTCACCTCCATGCATGGATGCCAATGTGTCACTGATCACTGTCTCAAAACATCCACAATCTGTCAGGATGGCAGTTAATGCAGCATCATCCAAGTTCTCCACCCCAGACCTTGCATCAGCGATGCTTCGATTTTTCGTGTATGATTGTGACATGGGCCTCAGACATGATCCAAATCGATACTATTACGCCAGTACCATGCCACTCCCACCACAAATTAGTTCGATTGATATCTGGCATGCCTTTAAACTTCAGCGCCCTCCACCTAATCTGTTTTACCCACCTTTGCACATGCAAGTATCATGTTCCCCTCCTGGTACTAGAGACTGCACAGCAGCATACACTGGCACCACAGTGCTCATAAGGGTAAATGGCACATTCCAGATTGGCAAGGCACGGATCATCTCTGCCTTACCTAATGATCGAGAATTGGAGACTATGAAGAAGCGACAACTGTATGTGTTTGTCCATTGGTTCAGCCCAATCTCCAATCTGATCGCACACATGCATCTCCGAACAGTGAAGAAACTGATATCTAGTGATGGCATCCCTGATGGTGGCATTGTCCCACTTTCAAGTGTTGTCACACCATGCCCTCTAGCACCTGTTCTCTGAGGGTACATCGCCAAAGGGACTGTCAAGAGCACTATGTGTATGGCAACTCAGACAGAATTTTATGTTAATCCATTTGCAAGCCATTTTGACTATGAGCTGTATGCTTGATACTCACTTCATGAAAATCTTAACATCTTATCAATGCCAATAAAACCTGCAGTCAAGAGCTGGCAGAAGCGAAACCGTTTGACAACTGTGAGAGCACCGAGAGCACATGTCACCAAAGATACCATGAGTACAGCGGATGCCAGAGAAGCAAAGGGAGATGGGGAGTTTCTGTAACGACATTGCGCAACACCAGCAGCATGAAGAATGCCACAGTGAACAACAGTCAAGAGCAGGGCAGAGAAACATATCGCAGGGGACAAACAAGAACATGTGGGGCACTAGGAGCATGTGGGCTGCTAGGAGCACGTGCATGAGGAGCATGCGGAGATAGCAGTGGGGGTCAGCAAATGAAGGGAGAGTCTGAGGTAATATTGTAACCATGTGATAAAAAAAATGGCCATCATCCTCATGCAAAAACAATTCCTCTTGACAGTACAACCATGTTTCAAGTATTGCCATAATTATTACTTAATAATGATATTGAGATACTGCACAGGATGTGAGCCCATTTTGAAGCGGTTTTATGGATGATTATGGAATATCACAAAATGTGCGGGATCTTCTTGAGCTTTTCTCATGCACCAGGAAGAATTTCGGAAATTCACTAGGCCAAAACCTGCATTCATACCTATAGAGCAATCTCACAAAGTTTGAGCCCAATCGGAAAAGAGTAAAGGTACATTCTGTGGCTGTTAGAAACAGGGCTGATACAGATGACTCTGGAGTGGAATCGGAGACTTAGCATGGAGGGACCTTGGCCTCAGCGACTCAAGCAGAGCGCTGTGCCATTGCTGTTTGTCCATTTGGTCCTTAATTTCACATTAGGTGAGCAGGAAGTCTCTAGGGGGCATTTCAGGTCGATTTTGGACTGAACCAAAACGAGTATGTACAAGCGCCGATATATATAATGGAGGGGGCAAAAGCACAAGGAAACAAAGGGAAACCGAATCGGAATGAAGATGTCCGAATGGGAACAAAGGGTAGAAGAAGCGGAGCGGTACCGAAGGTCATAAGGCAGGACCTGTGATACGTCCGAAAGGAGGTAGGGAGGGCGAGGCCCAGAGGGGCAGGAGGATGAGGGGAAGTGGGGATGATGACTAACTGGCTAGAATGGGAAGAAGCAGTAGTCCAAATAGGGATGAGGGGTAAACACGAGAGATACATTACAAGCAGCGAAAGTGCCAAAGGCGATCTGTGAAGCTTGGGGGTAACGGAGCTTACAGAGGTTACGGAGGCGGGGTTGAAAGTCCGAGGGATATTGGCAATGGTGTTTACGTAGTATGAGGTCACCAATGCAATGGACTAAGACCGAGGTGGAGTCAAAGTCCGAGGTAGGGACTATGACGGAGGCTCGGAGCAAAGGTACAAGCGGTGTCCGAGTACGAAGTATGGGACAGTGGTGGAAGGTCGTAACTTGGTGGGAGGGTGGCGGAGGAGTACCAGAGGGAGGAGAGAGGGGGAAGGTAAGGAAGAAGGAGTGGCAGAAAGGAGAGTTGTCAGGTCCAAAGGTGAGTATCGGAGCGGACAGAGATAGGGTAGGAGAGGGAAGGAGGAGTAGAGGTGGCATGGGAAGGGGTAGAAGGAGGTGTGTTGCCAGGACCGAAGGTGAGTATCGGAACGGCAGCAGTAGGGTATGACTCTGGAGGTGAAGAGGGTGGAGGTCCGGAAGTCGGGTTGGGGTCAGGTATGCACGGATATGACAGTGACTCGGAAGCCACAATAAATGTAGTAGGCCCAAGCTCCATATAATATATAGTTGTACCAAGGTAATAACTGCGCAAAGAGTCAGTCCAATGCTATTCCAGCATTCCATCAAAGTTTGATGGGTTCATATGTAGTTATCATTGAGTTATAAAGCAATATGTTAAAATGCGATTTTATGTATGGTGAATAACTTTTGATTGAGGAAGAATTTCCAAAATCCGGTAGGCCAAAATATAAACAGACAATATATCTACAATCATGCCAAAAATCAAGCAAAAAGAAGAGGATTGAAGGTACATTTGGGGTGCATCTTTCCAAAATGTCGGGATAGGTGCACAAAGGAATTACATGCCAGGGTTTACCGACATCGCCTGGCCCAACCTGGGATCTCTTGGCATCTAACCTTCAGTATTGTTGGCTTATTAATTTGGGGGCAGACACCCACACCCACATCCTAGTCTCCCAAATGCCAAGGGATAGAACTTCTTGGACATATTCCAGGAAAAAGATCACCTCCCCCCAAACCCGACAATTTACTAGAGCTCAAGCTCATATGACTGGCCATGCTGAACAACAGTCAGCAAGGGGGACCCATAGATACAAGGAGAATTTATGGTTGGGACCTTCAACTCCGAGTCAAAGCTGCAAAATCTTTAGACCCATTGCTCAAACTTCCAATATCCGGCCACTTTTTCCATCACCAGCTCTGCCACTATCACCATCTCAGCATGCTAATCCAAATATCCACCCTCCAGAGTCTATGCAGGCAAAACAAATCGCAATTTGTGATCCTTTGGTTGATCGCTTGCGGAAAGATAGGAGAAACCTGACAAAGGTTGCCCAGCATGCAAAAGCAAAAGCTCAATCTCTTCAAGCCAAAATTAAATCAATTAAAGTGACAGCAGCCAAGAATATGAAAGAGGTTGATTGGAACTTGAAGTTCAAGAGGGAAAAGGTTGTGAATTTGGAATCAAAATTCATGGAGTTGCGGAAATCTTCAACATTGTGGCAGAAGAAATCATATGCACTCCAACAACAAAATCAAACACTTCAATCGAGGCTGAGAAAAAGTCTAGAACAAGTCAGCTTCCATAGAAAGCTATCCTTGAAGTATGGCAGTATGTCAGGGCACAGCCCTTGACCCCACTCACCCTCAGACACCCTCACCCTTTCCCTAACCACCCTCTCCCCACATTTCCCCATTCCCCCTGTCCTTCCCCCCACTGTTTCACACAATGATGCATGCATGCAAACCCATTATGGAAAGTCGGCAGCAAGTGGGAACTGTATAGTTCCTGGGGTCCTTTTGTGTCAGCCTCACAGGGGGCTGAGAAGCTGTGAGGTCTTTGGGTAGCTCAGCACACAAAGCCGTAAGTGATACAAGTATGTGTATTTTACAGTGGTGTGTAAGCAGTTACCTGGAGGTTCCTGCTTACCCACGTGACTATATGTATCTAATTACATGTGGCTTGGGGTTCGGGGCTATTGCCCTGACATTCTCCCCCCTTGCGTTGCATTTGCGACACATACAAGGTTGATAGTGAATAAAACAAAGTTTTAATAATTGATTTACATTGAGTTTGAAATTATCAATGAGTGTTTTGTTGTCGCCACTTTAAAGTGGGCGATTTTTGTACATGTCGGTGAAGGAGAGAGAAAGGGTTTAAGGAATAAGTGAGTGTGGGCCATCACTCTGAAGTGAACGGCAATACATGGGTATCGCAGGGAGAAAAGTAGTGGAGTTTGTCGAAAATGAATTTCGACCCAAAGGTTGTATGTCTTTGGTGTTCCTCACTTGTTCCGTGAGGGTTCATGTGTAAATGGTGTTTACACACGAGCGGTGGAGGATGTGGGTCTTTTGACGGAGTAGAGATTTCTGCAATTGTTACTTGCGGTTCCTCGCATACAGTATTGTGTGCGGGGCCTCGAGTTGGGGGAAGGTGTTTTCACAGGCACCTCGATGGCATATTACTGTGTCACTTTCCCTTTTCTCAAGGGTGGGGTCATTGCCCCGGAGGAGGGTTTTCCTCTGGGTTGTTCATCTGGACATCCGATTGCTGCATCGGATGTGATGACATAGCCTGGGCTACATTGTTGGGCTGTGGGCTCGACGAAGTGGGCGCTCCCTGGGTGGGAGTGGGTTGTTGTGTTCCTGAGCTACTTGGCTCAGGTGTGGAGTACGGTAGGTCTACCGTTCTTCCCGTGGGGAAGGGTGGTCGTTGGGCTGGTTGTCCAGCGTGGAGACTTGCGTCTCTTTCCCGGTATTTGGAAGCTTTCGCATCCTGTTCTGCAGTTCTTGCAGCACATTCCTCAGGAGTCCTGAGTGGTTTGAACTGGGACTTTAGATAGGTGGCTTTGCCTAGACTTTCCCAGGAGATTTTTCCTTTGTTCTCCGGGGAATTATACTCCTCCGCAAGTCTTGCAATACTCGGGAGTCCCAAGAAGTATTTCTCGGTTTCCTTCACTTTTTCACAAAGGGCTCTGTGTACCTTGCCGCTTTTGAAGGCAGCTTCGGCCTGTTCGTACCAGTGTACGAATTCTTTCCCACTCACACTTGTCCACCAAGTGTATGCGGCGTCGTGCATGCTTCTGACCCCACTATTCTCCTCATGGGGAAGTTGGGGTCGATTGTTATGTCGACTGGAGCTTCGACTTTGCCGAACTTGTTGAGTTCGGCGGTCTTGTATAACATGTGGACACTTCCCTGCAGGGTAGCTTGCCCATAGGGTGCTGAGGTACTCAGCGGCCCACCGCCTCTGGCAGTGGTCCCCATTTTAGGGTCTGCCATCGGTTGCCTACCGCTCTCCCTCTTCCCCTTGACATGGGTTTGCCCTTCTGAGGGTGGCACTTAAAAAAGTGTGAGGTCTCAGTGGGGGTTGCTCAGCACATGAGGCTGTAAGTGATATGATGATGTGTATTTGATGGTGTGTAAGTGGTTCACTGTCAGGGCACACCCGCCTGACCCAGCCCCACTTCACCCGGTACCCCACCACCCAGTCTTCTCCTACCTCCTCCCCCCTTCCTCTTTCTTTCTTTCTCCATTTCACTTCCCCTTCATTTATTTCACTTTCTCTTTATTTTCTCTTTATTCTACATGGACGACCTTTCCTTGTATCAATGTACCATTGACCCACCCGCAGCGTGCTCATGACATGCCCAGCCTGGGCACCTCAGGCAACCCCCGCTAT